CGAAATCCGCAAGTTTTTGCAAAATCCGAAACAAATTGTGGAATCCACAAACAAATAATAAAATATAAGCATATTAAAACTAAGCTGTTGCGGAATCCGCATTTTTGTCGCGGATTCCAGTAGCATATATAGTTAAGTCTTGAAATTACTATTTCAATTTCAATCTATTTTTGTGGGTCATCAGCAAGTCTGTCCGACAGTTCAATCTGATTTACTGCCAATAGTTTAAGCTCGACAGCTATATCTGAATTACTGAAAGAATGAACACCTCTCCTGTTTCAAAAACTGAAAGAATGAACTTTTCTGGTCTTTAATATTAAAAGTAAGAACACCTTTCCGATCTCAAATACTTAACGTTATGTAAAAAAAATACTGTAACGCTTAAATTCTGAAACTCAAATAGTTAGTTTTTCAATCTACCATTTTTCCGACAACGGCAACGGATTGAATTCGGTAGGTGTGTTTGTTTTTGCCACGCAAAACAAGTATGCAAAGTCAGTTTATGGTGAGGTCGACTGATTGAATTTTGTTCAAGCTTTATTGGTAAGGAGTCGAGTTGCTTTCAGAAAATCTATAAAATTTTTTCGGAGTCGCAAAGAAAGGTCAAAAGTTTTCCGCTTCAACTTCTCATTTTAATACTCAAGAACACAAGACGTGAATAATGATTTTTTCAAATCATTTTAAAAAAAAATTAATTGCGTACCTTATCAAAAAGTTGAAACAAAATTTAGCAGTTGAGCTTCAGTATTTGCTAAATCTGTTGACAACAAAAACGTTTCATTTTTTTTACGGCTGTGTTCCTCTTTTTTGGTACAGCAGGAAATTGTATTATACACTAACGCTATTTTACACAGAGGTAAAGCTGCAATTCGCAGGAATAAGCAAGAAAATGGAAAAATGTAGCTCTGAAAAGTTCAGGTAAAACTACCAAATTAAAGATAGAAAAAGGGTCTGAAGAAAGTTTCTTATGTGCCAGAAGAGATCCACCTGCTAGCTTAACACCAGTCTCACGTGTTAGCATATGCCTCATGGTCGCTGGACAAAATATAGCAGATATGCTACTTAATTGCCGATGCTATGCAGAAAGAGTGCCACCAAAATAGAACTTTCGTTGGCTAATTGGTTTTAAAACGTAAACTTTAAATAAAACATTACGCTTACTAGCTTTTGAATAAACAATGAAATCACTTTCATGACTTTTGAAAGCAAAACTAAAAACTGAAGCGGAAACAAAAAAAACGGTCTACAAAAGTTTCCAAACTCAAGTCTGCTTAATTAAATAGAACTCAAATAGTGCATACGTACTTAAAAGCAATCATAAAGGCATTAATAGTTATGAATGGGTGACAGGAGAAAGTATCCCATACGAAAGTATACCCTTACAAACTATCCCATACCAATATAACGCTTCTTCATTCGGGGCTATTCTAACTGCTGGGGTATTTTCGAGTGGGATACCTTCGCATGGGATAAAAAAAAGTTAAGGGATAATTTGCGTGATACCGTACGAATGCACTTCTAAAATGTTAGATCATTTCGACTTTCCCTCAACAAAATCATCGCGCTATATACAAAGAGGCGAAGCTGCGCTACGCGAACACTAGCGAGGACACGACAAAAAGCAGCTCTATAGTTCTAGGAAGTGCAATAAGAAAAAGTAAAAATGAGCTTCGATTTAGTAAAAATTCAGCGACGTCACAGACTTAAACCTACGACCTAGAAACTATGAGTCTCGCGCACTATCCACCCAGCCACGGACTCTTAATCCATCACAAACATTACCCACAAACAAAGCCGAGAACAGATGAAAAAAGGGAATGTCTTTAATCGCCCCCTATTGTACCAAGGTCTCAGCCTAGTGCATTGGATAAAATTCAATTGCACCACAAAGTTGGTCTCCAGACCTTTACTGAGAAGGAGTTTGATTCTGAAGTTAGCACGTTGCCTAACTACCCACCTTTCAAATCCAAACCATCTTTCGGGTCATAGTGCACTTCAAATACCAGCATTTAGCACAGGGCGTTACATGCCTTGTGGTTCACCCTCATGCGGCAACTTGAGAAAAGTAACGAATCTCTCACTGCCTCCCTTACAAAGAAATTATTTCATGGTTAAGCATATTTGCGTTTTGCAATAGGGGAAAATAGTTACAGATCCAAAAACTATGTGCGCCGCAGCATAAATTTAAGTTAAGGGGAGACTTTCAGAGAATTTTTTTCAAAAGGTTTTCGAAAGCTTCTGATTCCCAACCGTTGTCTCGCTTTTTATTCTATCTTAATCAAGTCAATCACGTTTACATGGTGTTCAGACAATTCGGTCACAGACAATTCAGCCAATTTCAAATTCAGAGAATTCAGTCAAACTGAGGGAGACAATTCGGCCAAAGACAATTCAGACAGTTTTAAAGTTTTAAAACGTGCGCGCAAAAACTTTTCACATGCGGCAAAACATCAAAGCTTTCATTAGACGACTTATAATTAATTCCTTTCAAATGCACATAAAACAAATATAATTAACAGAAACAAAAATAGCTAAACATAATAAAATTTTATGCAACTCATTATGTTTCCAATTTTAGAATAGTACCTAAGCAAAAATCGAACTCAACAAAAAAAACTGGACAATACTTAAAAGTTAACCAATTTACGCGAAAGTGGAACCGAGATTGAGAGTTTTACAGGCGGTCAAAAAGGATATCAGTTAAAGGGTTGACCACCCCTATCACGTACTGGCCACACAGTTACGCTGATATTCTTATCATGCCTTAGGCAGGGGAAGGTGCAACCGCCTATTAGGTAATTTGGGTAGTTGGTAGAAACTAATTAGAAACTTAAACTTCTTCAAAAGATAATTTACTAACCAGAAACCAGTACCGCGTTTAACGCCTACTTTTTGCAGTTAGATTGTCCATTTACACAATTAACATTGATTAATCTTCATTAGTAACTAGTTTGAACAACTGACTGATTAGTATCTGAATCATTCTAAATCTTTTACTTTTAGCAAAAATTGTCGTAAAATGGAATTCGTAAAATCTGAACGCGGAAAAAAGCATCTTTGCCTTGATGGTCATAGATACTGTGAAAAAACCAACTTAAGAACGGTGTCATTAAATGGCAATGCACATTTGGAAGTTGCAGAGCAGTGGGTTATTTGGACGAACAGCAAGAATTCACCTTAAAAACCGAGCATGCTCATTTACCGAGTCCCTCAAAAACTCAAGCTAAGAAATTTGCTAACGAAGTTCGAGAAAAAGCCGCAAACACTGGTAACGCTCCCCGACAGATTGTCTTCAACGCCCAAATTGACCTGCCTCTTTATGCAGCGCCTACAATACCGAAATCCTCAACATCTCTTCGGAGTATAAAGTATAAACCGAATCAGGCAGCAAGCCTTAGAAACAATGCCAAAACCAAAAAACCTTGAGCGTCTACGAAATTCCTGAACCTCTCAAACTCACACACAGCGGCGATACCTTCCTGTATTTTGATTCTGGTAAGTCGTACAGTCGAGTTTTAGTTTTTGCAACATCACCAGCGCTTGATTTGCTTTCTCAGTCGGAAATCTGTCATTGCGATGGAACGTTTTCAGTGGCACCAGATGTCTTTTACCAAGTTTATACTATTCATGGTGTCATCGAAAATGCAGTTATACCCTTGGTGTATGCTCTGCTGCCCAACAAGACCCAAGACACATATGAAAAACTTTTTGGCTGATTAGAGCAATTTGGAAAAAAGTAGTCACTGATTTTGAAGCCGCTGTTCGCAACGCCATAAGGAAAATGAGCCTGATACAGAAATTCAATTCTGTTTCTTCCATCTAGGCCAGGCAGTATGGCGCAATGTACAATAACTTGGATTTACGCGCAAGTACATGGACGATGATGAGTTTTGACTGAATGTCAAAAAAATGATTTGCTTGGCATTCGTTCGAGTTGACGACGTTATTTTCACTTTTGAGGCTCTCCCAAAAAGAGGATCCCTCATAGGAATTTCATCGGACTATTTTCAAGACACCTATATTGGTGCCTGTTGAGGGAATAGACGCGTCGAACCAAAATTTGACATTGCCGATTGGAACGTTTTCAATCGGGTGCTCAGCGGTGAACCTCGTACTAACAATGCATTGTAGGCATGGAATGGCAGCTTCAATAAATTCGTGTCGACAAAGCAACCCGCCCTCCCCAAGCTGATCACACGTTTCAAAAATGAGCAAAAAAAATTGCCGAAATAAATGTAGAGAGACTGATGTGCGGTGATTTTGTTAGAAAACCGAGGCCCAAGTATTCACTCGCCAATGAGAAACTCGTTGAGAACGCAAAAAACTACAATCGAGACCATATACAGAAGTATTTAAAACTTTGTACCATCAATGTACATAAATTTTTAAACTTAATGCATAGCAAGTTTGTTTTGATCTTTGAATATTGTTACTTGATGTTTCACATTTCTTTGTTAAAGTGTTGAAAGCCTTCGGACTCTAATCAAATTAGAAAAGTTTTAAATTTTCCTTTTATCTAGTCTCTTTAATCTAAATAGGCCGAATTGTCTTTGGCTGAATTGTCTGAATTTTTTTGGCTGAATTGTTATTTTAAATCGGCTGAATTGTCTGTGGCTGAATTGTCTCTGCGCCGTTTAGATAGATATGGGACATATTTCCAAGCGTGGGATTTAGCTTGCTCCAATTCACCTTGGAATGGTTAATTAAGCACTTTGAAGTTAAGATCCATTGCCGCAATCAAATAAGTCCCGCTTCAGCATTGATCATCATAAGACAACTTTGCTTACCAAGCTGAAAAATTTCTAAGTTTCAAAAATCCAAAACTTTACAATTAGGATCACGGATTACATTGCTGAAAACAACTTTTTCGATACGTTGCATATTTTTACCCCTCGATGAGCTATTTAGGCACCGTAAACCCTTTCGTGCGACGCAACCCACCAAAATCACTCATGACCCTGATTCAATTTCTCCATGTTCGCAGCACGATCCGATCAAAAAGAATAATAAGGCATTTAATTTTTAGGGAAAATTGAATGAACAGCGAAAAATTAAAATATAAACAGCATCTATAATCGAATATTTACAAGTTTGTCACCACGTGAACCTTGTGAAATTGCTATCAAATAATTTTCTTTTTTGGAACAATTGGACAAGGAACAGGCTGAAGCACAACCAACTAATACGCATGAATTTCATATTCCAATCAAATTTTATATATCTATCAATAGTATTTATTTGGAAAAATTTTTCTCACATAAATCCTCTGTTAAACTCCAATCACGAATAGCTACCTTCAATAGTGAATTTTGCATTCATAATTTGTAGTAAAGCTTTACTAGCTATAATTTCTGCAGTAAGTTCATTTCCTGTTAGCAAATAACATTTCAACTTTGAACACTAAACAGTTTTCACTGAGCTTAGCTTGTTTGCCATTAAATTCCCTCGAGTCGTACTTAAATCATGGAAAAAAAGATAATATACTAGGAGCACCGGTTGGAATGAAGCATGAAAAAATGATGAAAAGACAACAGTAAACGGATAATAACACTTTACAATATGTCAACTAATCTTACAAAGAATTCCGAATATAGCAAAACATCTGCAGACATTTCAATTAGACTTTTATGTGGCTCAAAATTTTCATCAGCAGTTTTTTGTGCAATAATGAATAGTACCTCATGTTAACAATTTAAAAACTTCCCTTAGCATCCAATCTTAAAAACATCCATAATTAGCTTTGGAGTCATTAAATACCAGACCAAGAGCCGAAATTATAACTTAATAACATGAGCTCATTTTAAAAGTGAATTTGAGTTTATTATGCGATCTATGCTTGTGATAGCTGTTGCTGATGTTGCTGATACAGTGCATATGCCTTTTCTTTAGTGATCGTGGGCTCATCGCACACGATCTCCCTCAGATATTTGCACTCCTGTCCGGGTGCCAGATACTTAGGAATGTAAGGCCTTTCTCGTGCATCAATCAAAAGGTGTATTCTCGGATCGGACGGGTTCTTCACCCAGTGCATCACACGGTTGTTGATCTCGAATACTTCGCCTTCGACTAGTCGGATACTGTAACTATGGTCGTGACCATGTCTTCCAACAACACTGAACACAGTTCCCGATGGCACGATGATCGGAACGTGGATTCGATGCAACTTACTCGGCCATCCACCACTATCAACATGTGGTTTAATCTCTGCGTCGTTTGCCATACGAGCCAGTTGCATTCTAGCAACATGATGAGTCATATTTTCTCCCAACACTTTGTCCAAGATAGGCTTTAGTGCCTTTTCAAACTTAAAGTACCAGGGGAACCAGTAGCTGTTTTCGGCATTAATATCTGAGAAAACGAATTTGATGTCACGCACACCTGGTTTGAACTTCTGCATGACTCCTTCGCGCTCGCCCAAGAAGGCGTTTCCTTTCTGGTGTTTGTACTCCCACTGTTCTATGGCTGAAGCAGGAAAATTTGAATGGTTCTAAGGCCATAACAGGATAGTTTACAAAGCTTTTCATTATAGTTTAGAATAATTGACAAAAACCTAAAAACAAATGTATATCCAAGCATTGCAGAAGAACATTCAGTTAACAAACCAAAAAACCGATGGCATTTAAATCAGCTTTCAAACGATGCATTTGAGCAAGAGCCACAATCCACTCAAAAATTGCTCTCATTCTTTTTCCTTTTTAGATCAAGTTAAGAAAAACAAAAATGCATTTGAAAAAAACGGCGAACAGGCAGAATTATCAGAGAGAAATTGAACCACTAAATTTTCCTCAAAAAAGTCTAAGCGGCCCCGATTTATTCATAATACGGATCATAATGAAAAACAAAAGGAAAACAGCATAACCTCGCCGAAAAAAGTTTGACCCAAGAAGAAACCAAATTAACAACAAGGACAGCCGGTTACTGTGCAAATAACCCTGAATGTTCCGACCATAACCTTTTAAAAAAAAAACACTTATTTTCAAATTAGAGCCGTTTTTTTTTCTGTACGGTGAGATCAAAAAAATCTAAACAAAAAATAGATACTAGGTAATAGCAATAGTCATAGCATAGTCAAATAGGTCAATTGAAACACAGTTTTTGTAGAAAAATGGCTATTAAAACGAAAAAAAATAGTAGACAAATTAAAAATTTTCTTTGCTATTTTTTTGATACCCAAAAAGACGCTAAAAACTTCAAACGGATAAAATTAAGTTTTCACGGCTTGAATTATGAATAAATGAAGCTGCTCGATCACTTTATTCACTCAAATTCAGACTAAAAATCAAAAAAGAGACTGGGTAAACAGTTTTTTTTAGAGACTGGGTAAACAGTTTTTTTAGAGACTGGGTAAAATTTTGGAAAATTTTTTTGATGTCGTTGGAATCACGACTTAAAGCACTTCAATTTGATATATCACTCGACAGATTCCAATGATTACTTGTGGAACCTGATTTTGCATGGAAAACAGAAAAAAAAAACACTAAAACACACCCGAATACAAAGTTCCTCCACATTTTTCAAATGGTCGGAACAAAGAACAACAAATACCCGAATCAAAGTTCCTCCACTTTTTTCAAATGGCCGGAACAAAAATTGTCTATCAGAGCTACAACGGTTTTAAGTTATAGAACTGAAAGCATGATAACACAAAAAATTGAGATGGTCAAAATCAATGCTGTAAATTAATATACACGCATCGATTATATTTTCATTAAATTTGCTTAAAAGATTTGCAGTTGGACCATGAAAGAAAATTGTACGCTTGTAGAGTTAAGTATGGCCACTGAACTTCATAATTCTTCTAGAAGCTACATTAAATTGGTCTTTAAAAGCACTTGAACAGTATATACAGATTAAACATTCGTTGAAATGGCGCCACTTCGAATTACATGACACATAGTCGACTAAACTGCAAAAAAAAACTAGGTTGTAAAACCTTGATGCCAAGAAAACTCAATATATTGTCAAACAAAACTGCTTATATCAAGGCAAAACTGTAAATGCCCAACTTTCCTTCAATTTGTCTCTAGTTCTAGTTTTCGGTTTAAAAAATTCTAGTTCCAAGTGCTGAGATTACACGTGCCAACTACAAGTGTTATCAAATAGAAAAATGGACTTTTTTCATGTTAAATCTTAATGATAAAATCACTTGATAACTCAATTATCGAATCGAATCTACCGAAACATAAAAAAAGAATTTAAAATTTAAAAAAAAAAAAAAAAAAAAAAAAAAAAAAAAACATATTGGCAGATCCGTGGTGGATCCTAGGATCCCGTTATCTGTCATCTCCAAGTCTCAGAATCTGTTATGTTGTATATTTAAAATTTGATGTTTTCATATACTGGAGAAATTCATTCTTTCTTTCTTTCTAATTGAGGCATGGCGACAACTCATCGCGAGGCAATTTAATCAGGATTGTTTGTTGACTAGTTCCGCGAAACATTCCTCATCAAATCCCACACCCGCTAAGATATGACCGTTTTGTTGCGCATTGCTGAAATTAATTCTATTGCTAATTACTCTGCGACGATTGAGAGGCTAGCAATTGTCGTTTGCAACTAGTTGTCGCCTAACGCTTGATTTGAAACAAATAGTAATTTTTATCATTTTTCCAATTAAAAAATTATCAATTCGAAAACTGTCTCCAGACCGGAATCGAACCCAGCACAATTGTCAACTTACAGACGGGCGTTACCTATGAGCTTATTATGCAGAATTTATCAGAAAGCATGTAAAAATTCGGTGATGTAGATATAGCTCAATCAGATGAGCAGGGTAATGCTATCTTATCTGGACGGTTTCTTTAGTTATCATCTATGGTGACCAGCTCAACATTTTCACGTGGCTTAAACATGGAGCTCCCATATAAGTTGATGAATGTGAGCGCGTGGACACCGCCTTGTGGTTAACCTTCTTTAACTTAATTCATTAAAGACTTCGACAATTAAAGATCGTCGATGTTCGCAAAAATCTTTTGGTTTGACACAAAGTTTCTTTTCAGCCACTTGATTGTGCGTTAATACGAGAGCAGATTAAATGAAGTTGACCGTTGCATCGGCAAAACCATTCAGCGATTAAATTTTTTTCTGACTTACGTAGACTTGTTTTTTTGACTTACGATTAAATTGACTTACGTAGATTCATCAGCATATCCCTCAGTGGCAGATGTCCACCATTTAGATCTCCCATTATTAATTGCACGTCTTCCGCGCGGTCAACTTTGCTCGTCAAGTCCATGGTCTTATCTTGACTTTTCCACATCAGGTCAATGAACTTCATTCCAGAAGGCCACTCTCCTCCAATCAAGTTATCAGGTGTCACTTCTGAGAAGTCGCGTCCACTTTTGTCGTACACGACCACCTCTTTGTTTCCATTCTTTTTCGCAACAGGGGCGTCTTTCACATTAGGGATGTTATCTCTCTCCTTGTAGTCTTTTGGTAACTCTTGTTTCGCGTTGCCGCCTAGAGCTCCGTCTGTGATTTTGATTTCCAAACCACCTTTGATTCTTCTCAACAGCTCGCCTCTAGACCCATCAAGTGCTGTTTGTCTCTGTTCAATGGTCAAACTTTGTGGCAACTCCATTCTTGAGTCCGGTACAATCAAATCAGAATCGATCGCCATAAATCCTGAGTCTTCCCTCAAGAACGGCTGTGAAATGGTGTTCAGGATTCCATCCGAATCTATTTTTCGCTTGTACAATACCTGAAATAGCTTCAAATCGAATGCAATCAGCTCAGCATCGTTGTCACGATCTCTTCTCCAAGCACGACTACCTGCGACTGTGGATCCAATATAGGCGACATTGTCTTTCACAAACAGTCCTTTCAGGAAACGTTTCGGATCTTCACTCGATTGGAACAAAGTATACACTTTCCAAGTCACAAGGTCAAACATCTTTAGCGCTGGAAGTCCAGAGTCCAGATACAAGATTTGTCTGTAGTTTAGAAACATGATTTGATGTGCCTGGTTTCCCACTCCACGCATGATGATGGTTTCTTTCGTCTTCAGATCAACGACAGCGATTCCACTGGCGCCGCGGCTGTGCAGCATGGCAAATAGGAGGTCATTACATATTCCGAGGTTATTGATGTGATCCTAAAACGAAATTGATCTGGAAGAATATAGTTTAGCCCCCGGTCCTACTCAATGCAGAACCAACCGTCGAAGAAAAACCAAACTTTTTTTTTGTTTCGAACGCTAATTCTATTTAGTCACAAAAACATTGTTTGGAAAAATATTTACCTCTTTAGTGAACATCGTCAGTTTCTCCTTAGCGTCAAAACTCTTCAAGTCAATGAGCCACACAAAGCCATGTCCAGTGTCTGCCAAAAACAGAAGATCCTGAAATTTGACCATATCGTGGGAGAAAAACGAGTAAGACAGCGCATGGCTCTGCAGAATTTTGCCAGATGACATATCAATCTTCAGGATTTTATCGGGGATCTTCTCTGTACCCTTTTCGTAGTACTTTCTTGTGTTTACGATTAGCGTAGGCTGACATTTTCCGGTGACGGGATCGTTGCTGTTCGGGCCTTTGAAAGAATTGTAGTAGAGACCATCTCCGGCGTGAACTATTCGCGAGAACCCACTTTTCAGATCGTACAGAATTATTTTATTGGGCGTTGTTAACAGCACCTAAAATCAGTTGATTGTTCAGCTGAGATTTCAGAAATTTCAAGTCCGTTTTTGAATCTGGAAGTCATTCACGTTTTTCGAGACTTTTACATTTTTCCTATTGGATAGTGGAGTTTGCCTTCCTTTAAAGTGTGCAGATGAAAAAAAAAAACGAACAAATATATCACGACAAAAAAGAGCACTTTTATTTGCAAGTTAGGTTGGAAAAACAGTAGAGCTCATTATAGGACACTACGTCCAGCTTGTGAAAATAGAACGAGAACTTTAAGTGCAGCAGGAGTCAAAATATGTCTGGTGCAGTAAACATCCAACAGAGGCCTTCATAAGATGATCCCTGTGAACTAAGTTGTTCACGTGAGAAAAATCTTCCATTTTCCGGTTGCAATACACTTGCTGTCGCGAGTTTAAAAACATTAGTTTTTGCTCTGCATTATATTTTGACAACCCATTGAGACAAAATATTGAATAGAAAAGCATTGTTGGCAATATCTATTATTCATTTTACGGCAGCTATGGTAGTATGTACGATACAAGAGTTGTTAGATAGATGATAGTGGCATTGAAGCATTATACAATCAAGTATTGTCAGCTAATCTCACTGTTGATTCGTATTTTTTTAAATTGTCACTGTAAACACACAGAGGCGAAGCTGAGATTCGAAATACTTGCGATACAAAAACGAATGACTGATAAAAAGCAAATGAATTAACTGCACTATTAGAAAGTTTACAGGGAGATTTGGAATACCCGAAACAATCCGAACCTTCAAAAAAACCCTACGTCGACAAAAAGGACGAAGAAACAATCTCCCCTGATTCAAATTCGGAGGGAGATTTTTCACTTGGTTATAAGTATTACTTTTCAACCAATCAGTCTTCAACGTAGTACACGCAGGCCTTATGCTTGACTTTGCCATTTAATTTCAGGGGGAGATTGTTCACTTGTCAATTAAGGGAGGAGAGATTGTTCACATGGGCCAACAAAAATAAGCAGACAGGCGATAGTCTGAATTAGCCGAAAATTTTCAGTTTCCAAAAAACAGGCCTTTGCAGTCTCAAGCATGGGTGTAACCACTGCGCCAAGCACAACAAATTTTCCATAAACTTGAAATTAGAAGCGAAGAGGAGCTTCGCAGCACTGGCGATACAATGAACAAAATAAGAAAGAAAAAAATGAAGAACGTTGAAAAAAAAAAACAGATCAAAAATTTTGATATGTCTCGATAAAAGATAACTAGGGGCCGAGCTAAAGCTGGAGGTTGTTATAAGGATGTGTGATGCAATGGGTTATTTCAAAAATTGGACTTTGCCCAAAACCATACTTGCTTCTCTACTAAAATAAAAGAGAAGGGTGAAAATTGAAATCTTCCCAAAGACATAACATTTTTCTTACAAAAATTTAAGGAGATGCACCACTTCTTAAGTACAAACTTTCGCAACCTGTTCATTCAATTGAATCCTTCATCTCCGATTTGACAGTGTAGTTTATAAGAAAGGTTAAAAAGTTTAAAAAAACGGTCAGAATTTCAAAAACTTAACTTTCGAAATTTTTTTTCTGCAAAAAGAAAATCGTAGCCGTGTTAGCAGAGAAACTTTCCAAAACCGGGTTTCACGATTGACCAAATAAATCTAAGAATTGGCACATTAGTTTTCGATAAAAGTCAAAAATTTTCAAAAAAATGGTCAATAAATCAAAACTTTTACTTTTCCAGAATCATAGCTTTAATTGTGAAAAGTTTGTGTGCAGAGCCGCTCATACAGAAAAGATTCACACAAGCTGTTGCTTTGATTGGACGCATTGATTGGAATTCTTTGTGTTAAAGAAATTGGGCTCAAATGATTATGCAGAGGCACTTTCCACAACAGCTTGTTTCGATTGAACCCAAAAACTCAGATATGGGAGTTTTTAAGAAACAATAAAAAAATTATCAAAAATTTTGACTTTTCCGAGGGCCATATCTTTATGTACAAAAAAATTTGGTCAAAGCTAAATGAGCAGAGAACATTCTGAAATACCGTTCTTTGGATTGAACCATATAATTCTGATTTTTGTGGGTAGTTTTCGAGAAAGGTCAAAAAGAATTTTTAAAAAAATAGTCAAAAAATCAAATATTTGTTCTTTCCGAGGGCCCTAACTTTTGAGTAGAAAAAATGGTCTAAGTTGATCATAGAGGGATTTCTCACAACCGGTTGTGTCCTAAGACCTCACCTTCTATCTGAATTTATAATAAACAAGCAATTTAGAATTATTTTGTAAAAAAATAATACATCCAATAAGTAAGCCGAAAAAAGTCGCAGGGACCAGTTTAATTCTGAAAAAACTCAACAAACAATGCACCCAGGAATAAAGCATGTCATCAGGCATGAGCATGTCAGCAGGCATGAGCATGTCAGCAATTGACTCAACTGATTTTGTTAAACTAGTTGTTAACTCGAAAAAAAGTCTACATTCCGACTTGACAACGCTTGTTAATCGCAAGCGTAATAAAGGAAGGAACACACGTGTAACACTTTCACATAGGAATTGGGAGCAAAATTGTCTACGGGAAAATACTAGTTTACAATTGCAACGCCCTTGCTTGTCGCAAGGGTAATAAATTTTAGAATGTTCCGCTGTTTAGTTTCTTACCTCATGGATATTTTTAAGCACTGGGATTGGATCAGATTGTTTGAGTTAAGAAAGCTCCAATGTAAATCTCAGCTTAAATTTTTGACTCTGAATAAACTAGAAAATGTTCCGGTGTTTAGTTAGTGAAATCATGGGATGTTTTTTAGGACTGGGATTGATCAGAACATGTTTTTGTTTTTCTGAACAAAGCTCCTCCGAAATATGATAAATCTCATCTTCAATTCATCAAAGGAAAAAATTCTATCCTATCTCTAATTTCACCGGGTACGAGTATGATAGTTGCGTCCCAAGAAAAAGCAAGTATGAAAGATGGATCCCGCATTTTTTGTGAAAACTTCACAAACAATTAAACAAATGAGAACCATGTTTTCAAAGATTTGAAGACCTAAAAAATATTTTTTCAGGGACCCAACTATCATATTGTAACCTTCACCGCTCTGTTTCAAAAATTTTAAGGAGAAACCGTTCTCATTTCCAGCTGAACTAAAACTTCGCAGCGTAAAATCACAATTTAAGAATAATGTATTGTTATTACGTTTTCTGAATATTTGTACGAATCACGCGGAAGTCAAGGGTTACCTGATTAGACGTAAATCCCTCGCAGGTGACTTTGCCATCAAATTCGCTTCCAAACTCAGAGCTAAACGATTTTTTACTGAGATCATCTTGATAAAACCGCAATATATAGATGAAGAGCAAGCAACAGAGCAGTGTTACCAGTCCAGTTAGCCTTCGCGACTTTCGCAAAAATATGCTTTGCATTTTCCGGACCAAACTCATAGAACTCGCCAACTTCAAATTCCACTATCTGAAACCTTCAAAGATTAGCTTGTTTGTTATTTTTGTTATCACTTCGTCCTTCATTTTATTTCATCAGTCAAGAAATTCATAAATTAGGTAAGCGAATGTAACATTCGCCCGAAAGTTCATACCGATAGACCGTTTGTGGTCATAGATGCATTGGTGAAGTAATAGTTGTAACAGTCGCCTACTTAAGTCACATATGAGGTTGAAAAAAAATAGGCCCTATAACCATTGGCTCAAGAGTCAGGGACACCATCTCTTGTGTTTTTCTACCTCAAACGGTCGGAGCCAATTCGGTTCACTTGTGACATGCGACTAAAACAATTGTTACAGCTTCAAGGCCACTACCAAAATACCCCCCCCCCCCCCACTCTAGAAAATAAGAACGTCCCCATACTTAGAACCAAATCGACGAACTCAAGTGGAAACTGGACAAACATTGGAAAGCGATTGGAATTGACATGTACGAATTCGAACGGAGATAGGAAAAAACATTTGAAATGACCACAAGAGGCACTGCCTAATGGTCATAAAAAACTTGACTTGACTCAGGTCTCAAAATACCTAAAACACGCGTGTTTGTAACAGTCGCCTACTTCGGTCACATATGAGGCTTAAGAAAAATAGGCCCTATAACCATTGACTCAAGAGTCAGGGACACTATCTCTTGTGTTTTTCTACCTCAAACGGTCGGAGCATATTCGGTTCACTTGTGACATGAGACTAAAACCTTTATTACAGCTTAAAGGGCACTACCAAAATACCACCCACCCCACACTCTAGAAAATGTGCCAGTCGGTCATATCTGGAAGCTTGACCTTGAGGGACACGAATATACGTGATTTTGGAGTGAAGTTTTATTTTTCAAAATTTCGAATGGAGCCTGTCATGCTGTTTTCTCGCGACAACTGAAAACATAAAATGAAAAATCAGAACGACCGAATTAACAATAGCGGGAAAGTACTTAAGAAAACAGCAGGAAATTGCTATTCGCAATTTCCAGATACAAAATAAGACACGAGTAGAGTCGTCTTATCCTGAAATAGGAGGCGAGATAATCACGAGAGAAGAGTACAATTATTCGAACTGAACCAGAGTGAACCTTCAATGGAAAGGTGGACAGCTGGAGTGTCTAAATGTATGAGACAAAAACTTCAATTCCAGAGTCAAAACTTATTTCCTTTATTAAAACTGATTAGTATTGAACTTCTCAAGTTATTGCATTTAATTCTCGAGTTGCTCATCAATTTAATTACTCCCTATTCTCGAGTGTGTCGACATGTGAGTTCCAAATTTAGTTTTCTCGAGTGTGTTTTATGATTTTTATGTTGAGATAAGGCGAGTTTTAGGTTGATCCATCTGAAATGGATCAAAGTTTCACTGTCCAATAAAAAGTAACTTAACGGATTGTTCCGACCCTGTTTTTAACGGCGTTCGTTTATTTTGGGTATCTCGAGACCTAAGTATGGGGACGTTCTTATTTTTTAGAGTGGGGGGATATTTTGGTAGTGGCCTTTAAGCTGTAACGGGTTCTAGTCTCATGTCGCAAGCGAACCTAATTGGCTCCGACCGTTCTTGAGGTGGAAAAACACAAGAGATAGTGTCCCTGACTCTTGAGCCAATGGTTATAGGGCCTATTTTTCTTAAGTCTCAAATGTGACCGAAGTAGGCGACTGTTACATAGTGTTTTTATGGCGCTCCTGGGTGTTTTTACGACATCATTACTACGGAGTCGAACCCACTTGACACAGCTCCGGGCTACATGCCCATTCTAGAGTACCGGTGGTACGGTTCAGCGGGAACGTGTAAGCCTTCCGGTTGTACCGTGATAGCTTTTTAGGAAAAGAGAGAAAACTTCCTGGTACGCTCTCCGAACGAGGCCTAGCTAACCGAGTAAGGGGGGGGGGGGTAACTAGGGGGACAAAAACACGAGCAAAAAGACAAAAAGCGAAACAAAAACAAGAAAAAAGTATAGAAAAAGGAACAAAAACCATAAAACAAAAAAGACAGTGACTTTGATACCAGATCATTTGGATCAAACCTTTATATTAATTAAATAGTATACCCATACTGTTTTATAAGACCGATCGTTTCGATCAATCTAGCAATCTTAACCAGTGACTTCAGTAAGGTGCCCGAGTGGGGGGCGTTGTTAAGGGTTTTTAGATAGATTGCAACCTAGCCAGACCACTAGCAGACTTGACTGGAAAAGGTGACCAGCCGAGTGGGAAAATGGTTCACAAGGACTGAACCGGACCACTAGAAGACTTGACTGGAAGAGGTGACAAGCCGAGTGGGAAAGTGGTTCAGAGTGACTGAGCTGAACCGCTAGGAAACTTGACTGGAAGAGGTGACCAGCCAAGTGGGAAGGTGGTGCTGCAGTCAAGTGCAGTGCCTGTCCACGGAGACAACCAGCACGGGATCACTACAAGAGGACGCACAGGGGTGTTCTCAAGTTGGGCAAACGGGTATCGTTAAAATCCACATTACATTATAGGAGATAAGTGTAAAATTGGATGAGCGGAGCCCCATTGTTTCGAGGAAGTTTTTACACAAGCAGGCCTGGAAACAGGTCTACGGTTTTTTCTCGAGAGGTTTAGCACCCGGCGCTTAAGGGATTTTTCGGCTTAAGAGGGGGGCTAAAGAGGGGGGAGGTTAGAAGGGGGGCTGGTTAGGTTAGAGGTTAGCGGTTGTAAATTGTAAAAAAGAGGGGAGACATTAGAGTAACTAATTGTTCGGCATCGTCGATTTAGTTACATTAGATACTTACACGCGTTGGTTATAAGAAGTGGATATCCAAATTTAACATCAGGTTAAGGTAGGTACCCTGGTCGGATCGGTAGGGGGGAACGGACATAGACAGTTTTTGTGATACCCCATAAGATCGCTAGCAGGGGGGAGGAAAACGCGTGGCAATCGGGTACCAGACATTTTTTCCGACAAAGATTGACATCTGTCAACCTTGAATTTTAGGTGGGTTCATCTCTCTGTTTTTGAAATTTTTCCTGTTTAAATTTTTACGTTTTGGTGAATATTTGTTGTTGATATACGAACGAACAGGTGATCACAAGATACCTGCGGGGAATTTAGGGTTCCAAATAGCCTGAAACAACGAGAGGGAGATAAATGCAGGGGGCCAGTATTTGGGTTTTGGCCATTAAGATAGGGATTTCGGGGAAAATTTTTACTAGAGCTCAAGTGGTGGTAAACGGTACAGTGGTTCAAGAGTCCCCACAACGAAGAAGAAGAGATCCTACATCCAGACACTCAGTGACAAGTCTTGGGACAGTACCGAAGAAGTCTTGGGACATTGCAGTCTGGGGACAGTCTTGGAGCAACACGGTCTTGGGACAGTCTCGGGACAGAGCAGTCTTGGGACATTCTTGGGACGGTGCAGTCTTGGGATAGTCTTGGACCAGAGCAGTCTTGGTACGAAACAGTCTTGGGACACTAGTCTTGGGACAGTAGTCTTGGGACAGTAGTCTTGGGACAGTGGTCTTGGGACAGTGGTCTTGGGACACTGGTCTTGGGACAGTGGTCTTGGGACAGTGGTCTTGGGACATTGGTCTTGGGATAGTGGTCTTGGGACAGTGGTCTTGGGACAGTATTCTTGGGACAGTGGTCTTGGAACAGTGGTCTTGGGACAGTGGTCTTGGGACAGTGGTCTTGGGACAGTAGTCTTGGGACACTAGTCTTGGGACAGTGGTCTTGGGACAGTAGTCTTGGGACAGTGGTCTTGGGACAGTGGTCTTGGGACAGTGGTCTTGGGACAGTGGTCTTGGGACAGTAGTCTTGGGACACTAGTCTTGGGACAGTAGTCTTCGGACAGTGGTCTTGGGACACTAGTCTTGGGACAGTAGTCTTAGGGCAGGGGTCTTGGGACAGTAGTCTTGGGACACTAACAAGAAGTACTGGGACAACACTGAATAGTCTTGGGACAGTAGAGAGGAAGTCTTGGAACAGTATAAAGAAGGGGGGTGACGGTACTAAAAGAGTACTAAGACTGGTTGAAGTAACCAAACGCAAAATCAAATTTTCTACCCAATCCTAAAGATCCGGTACTGTAGGGACCAGGAACATATAGAATTTTCAAAAAGCTCAGGAAACGTTGTTTTTAGCAAATTGTAAATTTCTTTTTATAAGATTTTGTCAAAAGAGGTTTTAACCTTAGAGTAGAATTTTGTAGATAGTAAAACTGTAAATAGGAACAATTGTGAATAAAAATAATGAGGCGGAGCAGTATACCGGTGGCTGAAAAAAGATCTACCGAAGCGAAGACAAAGTATAACTCGTCGCTAAGTAAAACGACATCAGTGGGTCCAAAGGTAACAAAGAAGAAAATTTCAGTTAGCATGGTCAACACGAGGAGTAATACAGAGAACAAAGCAAAAGAGGGCACGGAAGGGAAACAAGCAGATCCCACCATCGAGATTGAACTAGAGACACCGGATCAAAGTGTGGATGAAGTGGGAAAGAAAACGACAGAGTCAACTCCGATGCCCAATGCGGAAGAACCTAATCCGAAGCCCATGGAGTTCTCACCGATAAACAACGTGGAAGAAACAACAGGCAACACGCCAGAAACGGTGAAGGACGAGTCTCAAGCAAAAAGAACGTCTTTTACTGAAAGATTGGCGATGATGGTCGGAATGAAATCGAGAGACGCAGCAGTGGAGGAGACGAAAGCCGAGAAAGGCAAAACATTCGGAACAGTTTCCACGAGAACGACAGACACCGACCAAAATGAGGATCAAAAAAGACCGGGAACAGCGACCAACAACAGGACAACCTGTCCCAACAACTGTCCTGACAACAGGACAACAACGGACCATGGAACATCTACTCTTGAGCTTGGTGATTTGATGGCGAAGCTAGATCAGATAGACGAGAAACTGAAGCACAGCGAAGAAGATAGAGATTTGATAAGGAAGGAAATAAGAAACAACAAACATGAATACCTGGACAGCTATTTCCATCTAGCGAGAGCAACAGAGGAAAAGCTTCAGCAGATGTCGGA